ATTGCCCAATTGTGAAAACAGCATTCCCTTAGTAAAGAGAAGTAAAATAAAGGGGGGAAAATAAACCCAAATAATCTGGGGGGTTTTAATGGTTTGCCAAAGGGGAACAGCTCATCTTCTTTCACAGTGCTTTACTTGCGTATGAAGAGAAACACCTCACACTTCTGCTCTGATTTCCTTCAGGAATTGCATTACCGTAGGTTCTGGGGCTTTGACATTGGAGAAGCAGCAGTACTTTTCCACTTAGCTTAATCTTAGTTACTATTTTTTCTGCAGCAGCAGTACACAGTGCAACTTGGGAAATGTCAGGAGGCAAAAAACAATAAGACGGCATTTGAATCATATCTCTGCCTTGATTCCCAGCATTAAGCCAGGCACCTTCTTCTCCTGCCCTGTGGGTTGCTTACTTCTTATTCACAAGCTGAGACAGAAAGAATTGATGGCAGCTACGTGCTCGGAAGAGATACTGAGTGTTGTCATGCAGGAAATAAAAAAAAAAAAACAACCTAAAGCACCTTTAGCACAGACTTACAGAATGGTAAATAGGAATAACAAGGTCATCCAGATGAGTGACTAACCATAGGGCCAAATCCCAATGTTTCAGCACACTTCCATTCAGTTCTGATTCAGGCTGATTGGTAAAGTCTGATAAAGCTTCATCAGAAAACCAGAATTAAGTCTATTGCAAGAAGTGGGGGCCTGGGACCTGATTCTTTGACCGTGGACCAATTTCAGTGTAATACAGCTGATGTCAGAGTGACAAGCTCTGGAAGAAGAAGTAATATATTTTATTAAACTGACTGATGTATGCCAACTGAATTATGCTTGCTTGATACAAGGAAAATTGCTCCTACAGTCTTAGATGGAAACTCTGGCCTTCACTCTGCTCCCATTTACACTGGTGCAAGTCAAAGGTAATTTCATTATAACTAATACAAACGCATTACAGACAAGGCAATTACACCTGTAAGGTATCAGTGTGAGCTGAACCCTTTTCTCTGGCATTTCTACTAATGTTTGAAATGAAATAACGAAGTAAAATGTGGTATTTTTTAAAATGTTAAACCTGTGGATGAGACACCTGGGTGTACAACAGCGCTGAGCATTGGTAAATCTGTTGGATTTAGGAATTCACAAGTATCACTTAGAAAATACCAGCAGATAAATTGTGGAAAGAGATTGCAGGTAAAATTTCAGGAAAGGGGGAAAGCAATCCTCTAGTATCATGCAAGTCATATGGGGGAAGGAGCTCTTTTGCTAGCGGAGTTCATAACAGTTTCCAAAAGGGAGTAAGCCGTATTTGCAAAAGAACCACTCTGCCTGTGCCTGTTCAGGCTTCTTTTTGGCATAGCTCTCTGCCGCTGCGGTGGTCCCTCGGGCAACTGGCCCAGTGGATGAGACACAGCAGAGTACGTGCTCGCCTCCACAATAAGCCCTTTTCTTTTCTTTCCTTATGAAGGGAGGATGGGGAGGAGGAGTGAAACCATCTGTGCTTCCCAGTGCCTTCTGGTTTGGGGGGATCCTTTACTGAGACCCTCTAATATTTACAGGCAAGTTGTGACAGTGATTAATTCCTCATCAAGAAAATTTTTTGGTCAGTTTGGACTTTATTTGGTTTGATTACTCAAGGAACCACCCATTTTACTAGCTATGCCTCATAGTAATAAAACGCTATGTGAAAGAAATGTGAGAAGGAAAAGTACATTTCTGTCCCTTGATTTTCAATCCATCAGTTTTCAGGTTGAGATCCTTTCTTGCAAGCTGTGTAAGGAGAAAACGCTGTTCTCGTAACCCTTCATCCTCATTGTATCATATATTATTAATGAAGAAAGACCTCAGTGTTCATGTGCCGCATCAGCCTGCACGACGCTGATTTTTTTCTTCTGTTTAAAGAAAACATGAATTCACACCTATAGCTCCGCTTGGGTTGGGAGGAAAGGGAAAGGGCTTGTAAATGAAACAAGGCAGTGGTTTAGCAATTAGAGCCCAGGATTGAAAGTCAGCAAGGTTACAGTTCTGGGGGAGATTTGCTGTTGTTTGTCTTGATGAAGTTCCTCCTAAATGAGGTGATTATTGTAGCTGTCAGGAATGAAAAGGTAGGACACATTGATTTCATCCCCACTGCAATCTCCAGGACGTGCCGGTACACAGCAGTCAATATGAATTGCCAATTAACGAAAAAACAATATTGGCAAGTCGGCAGTTTGAGAAAAAACTCCCTCCAGCCAGTGCATAAAACTCCTGCCATTCAAATCACCATCCTCGAGCAAAGGCATTAGTAAACCTGCCCAGAAAATCAACAAAGATGAGCTTTTTCGGCGTAGCTGAATAGCAAATTGTAGAGCTGAGAGCCTGTCTGCACAGGGGAAATGGAGCAGAACAGCTATACAGGAACACACTTCGAGTGCACACCCTATCTGGAGATAAAAATCACTTTACTTTGAAGTAATTGTTCTGTTCTGAAAACACATGGGTTATTCAGGAATAAGTATCTTTTATTTCAGAATTAAAGTGCCTGTGCACTTACTCTGCCATTGTGCTAATGATAATAGATAGAGCTGTTGATAATAAATAGATACTCTTCCACAATAGGTACTGTGGAAATCTTCCCCTTGTAAATAAGCCCTAGGAATACCACACTTCCAATTACCTTATATTTCAAATACAGTTCGTGTAAATGGATACCGTTAACTTACCTACAGATTTCAGCAATTTTCATGCAATTAAAATCGTTAATGTGAAGCTTTGGGCTGAAGAAACAACTCCAGAATAGCAGCCAGGAGTAGTGTCTTTGAGTGAACCTGATTTAGAGAACACCCAGCACCTATTAGTATCTGACTGTTGGTGCACTTGCTAAGGAATTCCTGCCTCTGCAACAATAAACCTGAGTCTTGCGTGGTGCTTCTAACACAAGCTCTCATAGGACTTGACCAGACAGGTATCAGAATCATAGAATGGTTTAGGTTGGAAGGGACCTTAAAGCTAATCTCGTTCCAACCCCCTGCCATGGGCAGGGACGCCTCCCACCAGACCAGGTTGCTCCAAGCCCCATCCAACCTGGCCTTCAATGCCTCCAGGGATGGGGCAGCCACAGCTTCTCTGGGAAACCTGGGTCAGGGGCTCACCACCCTCAGTGTCAAGAATTTCTTCCTAATATCTAATCTAAATTTGCCCTCTTTCAGTTTAAAACCATTACCCCTCATCCTATCACTACACTCCCTGATCAAGAGTCCCTCCCCAGCTTTTCTGGAGCCCCTTTAGGTACTGGAAGGCAGCAATAAGGTCTCCCCAGAGCCTTCTCTTCTCCAGGCTGAACCCCCCAACTCTCCCAGCCTGTCCTCCCAGCAGAGGGGCTCCAGCCCTCGCAGCATCTCGGTGGCCTCCTCTGGCCCCGCTCTACCAGGTCCATCTCTCTCCTGCGCTGAGGTCCCCGATCTGGAGGCAGTACTCCAGGTGGGGTCTCCCCAGAGCAGAGTAGAGGGGCAGAATCCCCTCCCTCACCCTACTGGCCATGGTTATCCCTCATCATTATCCTTCATCTGCAAATGGGGAAGGTGAGGCTGTGGTTGTAAGATGACTTGTTTGATGTTGCCCAGCAAGATGGTGAAAAAGTACCTTTTGTTTTCTATCCCTTAACACAGTGACATATACCTTTCCTTTTCTAAAGAAGATGGTCCTGGAGGTGGAGCGCATTGATGGTAAAGCAAGGACTGTGAGCATGTAGGTTGGCCTTCAATATGCATTGGGTGTTGGAAATCTGCCACTTCCCAGCTAGTCTGTGAACTGACTCCGATTTGTCACCCCCAGTTCTGAAAAAAGAAAAAAAAAATAATTAAGTGTTCAGCCTGGAGAAGAGAAGGCTCCAGAGAGATCTTATTGCAGCCTTCCAGTACCTAAAGGGGTCCTACAGGAGAGCTGGGGAAGGACTTTTTACTCGGGCATGTAGTGACAGGACGATGGGGAATGGCTTTAAACTGGAAGAGGGGAGATTTAGATTAAACATTAGGAAGAAGTTTTTCACTCTGAGGGTGGTGAGGCACTGGCACAGGTTGCCCAGAGAGGTTGTTGAGGCCCCATCCCTGGAGGTGTTCAAGGCCAGGCTGGACGTGGCCTTGGGCAACCTGGTCTGGTGGGAGGTGTCCCTGCCCATGGCAGGGGGGTTGGAACTCGATGATCTTCAAGGTCCTTTCCAGCCCAAACCATTCTATGATTCTATGAAAATGCTGACCAGCCCAGGTTTAGGTTCAGAGCTGACTTCAGAGATTACCGGGGCACCTCCCTGTCTCCACAGGGAAACCTGGGGAAAACTATTTTTAAAAACATCGTAACTGAAAGACACGAAGTGATGCCGCAGCAACCCCTTTAGATGTACTTGCAACCAGAGTCCGCTCGAGGCCGTGGCGCGCAGCTCATATTTAGCATTAGCTTGTTGGTAGGACACATTACTCCAAGTTGCGAGCACATTTCGTTCATTTTAAACCCTATAAACATTTAAAACTCTTCACCGTTGAGCCTGGCGAATGCCCGGGAGCACACCAGGTGCTGTGAGGCGGCCGGCCAGGCTCTGTGTGGGCAGCTTTGGTCCCTCACGCTCCCACCCCATTTTTTTTCCAGCTTCCAGAGGGAATGACGACGTTTGGGCACAGCCCTCTTTGAAGATGTACCCCCTTTGGTCGGTAATTTCTTGACCTGTTCATCGATTTCAACCGCCTTTCGAAGGGGATGTTGTCCCTCCGACGGGGCGGTCGGGTCAGCTCCAGGCTGGGGCTGCCGCAGGCCGGAGCCGGAGCCGCCGCCATCACAACTACAACTCCCAGAGAGCCCCGCGGCGCCGCCGCGCGCTGCACAGCAGCATGATGCCGCGCGCCCCGCCCTCTCCGCCTTCTATTGGGTCACAGCACCTCCGGTGCCCGCCTCCTCTCTTCTGATTGGCTGCGCCGGGCCAGCAGGGGTGGCTGCCCTGTGTTTGAGGAGTGTGTGTGTGGGGGGGTGTATGCAAGATGGCGGCGGGCGAGGCGGCGGGGCGCTACCGGAGCACCATGAGCAAGAGCAAGGACCCCTCGGGGCTGCTCATCTCTGTGATCAGGTAGGGGCGGCGCGGCCCCGCTCCGCAGCCTCCCGTCCCGTCCGCAGGGCCGTCCCTGGGCGCTGTGGGGGGCCCCTGGGGGTGACCCAGGGGCGTGTGGGGGCCTTCCCGGGCCGGGCCTGCAGAGCCTCGGGTGCTTCCAGGGCCCTGACAGCGGTGGGGGGGCCTCAGTGCTGGAGCAGGCCTTCTCCTGAGGGATGTCCCACCGTCTTGCCGCTCTGCCTGGCGAACCCCGTTCTGTTCCCCTGAGTGTGCTGTATCCTGGGGTCAAAGGAGGAAGCCCTGCAGTTAGCGTTAGCTTGGTGCCATACAGGGAGGGTCAAGGCACCATCTTATTGCTCTAGTGTCTCTAATTGACCCCCGTCCACAAACACACAGCAGTAATGAGTAAAATATGGCTGGTTGGAAAAGCTGTAGGACTAGGAAGTCCTGTGTGCAAACTGCGTCCTGTTCTAGGATGTGATAGGGGGAAAGTGCTGCTTGAGAGTTGAATGGTCTTGTGGGGGATGAAAAGAAAGCAGTTGCATCTTGTCATGTTTAGACTATTGATTTTTGTCTGCCCTTATTCCTGCACGCTCCTCTTCTTTGCTAGAGGATGATTCTTGGAGCCAATCAAGGACCTGAATTCATTTCACTGCTTTCCCTCTGTGCTTTCTTCAACTCTAAATCTCTTCTATGCTGCCTGTAACAAGTGGGTTGGCAGCTGAGTTCACCATACTGAAGCTTTTAAATACTGGCCTTATGCACACCCACTAAAATGGGTGTGGGCTGCAAGCTACAAAGTTATGACATTGTGAGTTACAATGAACTTTCAAACTTTGCCTCCTACTTCAATGTCTTTGCCAGAAACTATAGTAATTCTGTTACTTTGGAGAAGTTATTGTAGCAATAGTTCTGTATCTAGGACATGTTATGAGCTGATTTTTAAGTCCTCTATGAATGATAATGTTTAGGACAAAATTCCATTCTTTTTCATTACCCTGAAAACCTATCTTTCAGATCTTGCAAATCTTAAGATAGGTGGTGACTGAGAAAAGTGGCTGGTTCACAGAACTGCTTCACCTTTCTGGGGTTGTGACTGCTGTCTCTGAATTCTATGGTAAAAGGTAACAAAGAATCACACTGAACAATGAATGAAAGGTGAAGCTTAACACAGACTGTGATGCCTGACTGTTCAATTTCAAGTCTATGTGGTTCATTAGTTTTATACAAAAAAAACCTGTTATAAACCCAGACTTCCTTATGTTGGAGTTACGTGTATATATGTATGCAGCTGGAGAAAAGTATACATTGGTATGACCTCGTATAAGCAGGAGTTATGACAGTGGTAGTAGTGTACTTTGGTAACTTTTTGTTTTGTATATAACATAAGTTGAAAGGGAAAGGAATGGGAAGCTAATGCCCAAACACGTGACTATTAAAATGGGTGGTGTTCCTGCAAATTTCATATCCCGGCCTACACACATGGGTGCAATTGTTCATGAGGTTGCATGGACTGTTTGCATAACAAGTACATGAGTAGTTGGGAAAACCTGAAAAAAATCAGGCTTCTCACCTGCATATTGAGTTTTTACTGGGCCCTTATGCCTTATATTTGGAACAAGGATAAACAGTGTGGATTTAAAGTGTGTTGTGCTTAGTGTTTCTTTATCAGCTTCAAGTTTGAGTAAGTTGGAGAGGCAAACGTGGTAGGTGGTAGCTAAATAACCTTAATTTACAGAAAATACAGTAATTTGTAGACATTGGAAGAATAAACAATACACATGCATTGATTGCTGCAGCATTTCCTGTAGTAATCTTCCCTTTTTTTGTCTTTTTCATGTTTCTTGTAATTTCCAAGAGTATTTTAAGGGCCTCCTTTTGTATTTCTATTTTAATAAATCTGGACTTGTTATTTCATTTGTAGTATAAAATGAGAGGGAGCTCATGTTACTGTGTTCTCCAAATAAGAAATCATGTTTGTCTAATAATCTTTGGCTTACAGGCACTGATACCCTGGTTAGTTTAGGTCCAGTGTTTAGACGCAACATTGAGGTTATCAACTTCATGAAATTAAAATTATTCAGTAGAACAGCCTGATGATGAAGCCTCCAGAATTTAATTAGAACTTGGTTTGGATGTAGAGTCTTTGCAGAACTTGAAGTGTCGTGTTGAGCCAGACCATGAAAACCTGAAAGTAGAACTGATTGCACAGGAAGGAAAAAGTGTTGTGTTAATAATACCCGCGTTTCTTAGGGTTAGCCAAGTAAAAAAAGCCAATGGCATGGAAAGGAATTTAAATCACTTTCTTCTGTATGTTGTTTTTGAATTGTAGCTCAGATGAGGATGAACTTGCTAAGGAGCAGGTGAATTTTTTTTTGCTGTTTTGTATTCTCATAAAATAACATTGCAAGCAAATTTAGACCTGGGTGGGGTAAATGTATCTTTCTTATAACTTTACTCAGCTTCAGAAAAACATTACAAATCTTGACAGAAGGCTATTGGCTTGAAATGTAGCAAAGTTTTCTTTTCTTGATAGCTTTATTTCCAAAACATTTATGTATAGAGTCTTCTGCCAATCTTTGTGGTTTTACACTTGCATTTCCCTGTTTATTTAGAAGACTGTTTATTTCTCTCTTGTTGCTGTGTGAAAGGCCCATAAAAGAAGACAGTGTATGAAAAGCAGCAAAACTTTTGACTACATTCATCCGCTGTAAACAAACAAAACCAGAGGAGCTTCTTCAAGTACGATGATATTTTACTTGGTTATAGCAGAGATAGTTATTTCTTTCAAAAAGAAACATTATTTAGATCCGCAAAATCTATTTAGTGTGATTTTCTAGAAAACGCTTTGAAATGTGAAGCTGTAAGGCCTTTTTATAAATATAAATGATTTTATTAATGAAGGGATAATTTTTTATATTTATTCAAGCTCAGTAGCTCTCTGGTGCAAGAGACTGAATAACTTAATTTCCTCTGACACTCGATTTAGGGATTCTTGTACTTATTTCACTGGACTTCCCATGAGAAGAAATATTTGGGGCCAGATCCTTGACAAAGATTAACCTATTATAGCAGTACTGAAATTCAGGGGGAAATGGTATTTTATGGCAACTGTGGCTCTGGTCTAAAATCAGGGTGCTGCTGCTTCAGGAAAGTTAATTGCATAAACGTCAGTGTAGCAGTGTAGGTTTCATCTATGTTGTTCATCACAGTTTTGGTATAGTTTGGAAATTTTGGGTCATCCCTCTGAATGCAGAAAACCCTGAGATGAAGGAAGACCAAACGGGAAAGTCCATCCCACTTTTGATCTTTTTCTGTCCTTGTGCAGTGTCAGTTTTTCCTGTTGTGTCGGGGAACACATTTGTTCTTTGGGAGTTATTTCCTGTAGGAGAATTCCTGTACTGATTGAATTCACCTTGGTTTTCCGGTTGTTGCCAAAAATAGAGAATAAAGGCAGCCTTGAGTAAGGACTAATTTGGAAGAATTTGTTTCCCGAGCGGAAGGAGATGTGCTGCTCAGTAGAGTACAAAACTGAAAATAAAATCCTGGTGTTTGAGCTGAACCAGGATCTGCTGGGTGATGATAGCCCTGCTAAGGTCGTCTGGCTCAGAGGGGTGATTTCTGGCTCCCAAGCCATGTGGTGCAGACGTCCCGTGTCCGTGCTGCCCCTTAGCCCCGACTTGAGCAGACTGGCTGTGTCCAGATAGCAAACCACCCAGCTTGGGTGTCCGTGTGGGACCCTGGTGGTACCTCTTTGGTTCCAACACCTCTACATATCTATGAACAGCAGTTCACATTGTTTACCAATGTCAAACGTGTCTTACAGCCCGCAGGTAGGATGTTTTACAGTGTTACTCTGCAGTCGTGTTTCCTGTCCAGCGTTACTGGAGTAAGACAGCACTGGCCCTCCTGAGATATGAAAAACTGTATTTGGTGGTTGGAGCGGTACCCGGTGCCTTGTCTGTCCTGCCTGTAGGAACGCTGGCGGGAGTGAACGATGATGTGCAGCACTGCCCCAGGAGAGGACTGATCTGTTTGAAAAGGGCCAAGAGCTACAAGGGAGCTGTGTTACAAGGTAGTGTAGTCATACGACATTCAGTTACACTGAATTCTTAGGCACATTTTCCCCTCTTGTTTCTCCTAAAGGAGAAACAGAGGTTTTGCTCATAACAATAAATCTTTTAGAAGTAAAGAGTGTTTGGGAAGCTTAATGAATGTTTGCAAAGTCTGCTATTAAAATCCACACCTTTGTTGCGGCTCAGGGGAGCCCTTCTTCTTCTCCTTGTGCCTTTAGGGGATATGACAGTATCTTCAATTTGCCCTTGTCCTCACATTGCTGAGAAGAAATGACCATTATTTGCTACAAGAAGACAGAGCTCCTGGGATTTTGACTTCTGGAGTAGGATACTGGATATCAGGGCTTTACAGCTTCAGTCCCTGTGCTTCTGCTGGATGGTCAAAAGCACAGTGCTTGCACTCATGCCTCAGTGCATCCACTTTAAAAACGTGCTAATTCCTTCACATATGAAAAACATCCTTCAAGTTCCTTAACTAAAAGGTACTTTGTAAGGTCAAAATGTTGTCGCTGGAGACCAGGAGCTTTTATTGTAGAAGTCTAATGCTGATCACATGGGCTTTGGCAATGTCTTTTTAAAAAATAGTGCAGAGAATGGATAAAATTCAGCTCATCTGCTGGAGGACAACTTGGGGAATATTTTTTTTTTTTATCTTTTGGAGGACAAACACATATATGTATATTGATTTTTCTTAACCTTTTGTTTTGTTGGTAGCTGGTTGAAGCAGCTTTTGTACTCTGAAACAAGCAACCTGGCATTTAGCAAATGCTATTTTTTTTGAGAGAGATCTTGTCAGATTTTTAATTGGTGAATTTGTCTGCCTTTTATTTGTTGTTAGGCGTTTTTCTTTCCAATTAAAGGTTGCTATTTTTTAAAACTGGCCTTTAATAGCTGCTTTAATTGGGAGAAAACAAACTTTAGCAGTGACTCCGTAAGACCTTA